AAAAGCAGAACATCTTAGGAAGGATGTGATGTTCTCCAGTTCTTTTTCTGTTGCAGAATGGGAACAAAGCAATGACAAACGGGAAGCATTTAGGTCACCTCAAACACGCACAAGAAAATTTAACAAGAGAGAATTTTAAGAAGTAAATAAGATGCATTTCACAATTAGAGCTAAACGAATGACAAAATGAAGTTACATATCAGGATAATAAAGTGCCTTCTGAGATAGCATGACCCTTAGGTATAAAATTGGAAGGCTCTAGATATGTCACTGCTTTCAGTGCAGCCAGTAATGATGAAGAGAATCACCCCCGTGAGAAAAGAAGGAAAAAAATAAATGGGAAAGAGAAGCGAAAAATTAAATTTCATCTTTCCTGTGAAGGGCTTTTCATATTTAGATATATGTCTCAGCCTCTCCCAAGCGATCACAGCCAAAGTGCCTCCTGTGTAGGTCTGGCCACTTTCCTGCCCACACTTCCTCAGCTGGATTTCTGCAGAGAAGTGACTGCCAGCAGCTTCTCTCCCACCCCATTTTCAGTGAATTTGATCTGTGTTGGCAGACCACCAGTTGTGGGTTTTTAGGAGCATGTCCTTCTTTCACAGCTGACATTCCTTGTCCCAGACAAATGCCGATGTATTGGTTCCTTCTCTTGATACATCTTCTCTTGTGTCAACTGACTTCCTTCTGCTGCAGCATAGTTTCTTCCAGTTCCCTCTGTTCAAGTGCTTGCTATTGTCCCCATGCCTTTTTGAGACTTTCTGAGTACTCGGGATTACAGAGGCTGTTTGGAACAACAAGCATTTTTGTCAAGTGTGTCAAGGCTGAGCATTGTAGGTTCATTTCCCAGCCATACCCAATGACTTGGTTTATGTATTCCAAGGAGGTTTATGTATTCCAAGAGGGATGTAACACAGCTAAGGTGATTAGACAAGGTGATGACACAAAAGTCATTTGAGAGGATTAAAAATGCCATACAAACTGTAACGAAATGAGTTTTAACTAAACTGTCCCCTTCAGTGAACCAAGTCTCATCACGGTGACTGACTCCACGAAGATGTCAGCATCATGCAGTATGAGGCACATAACTGTGCCGTCATGACCACGGCTTTGTATGCTTATTTGTTTCAATGAAGGGCTCTTCTATGAAGGAATCAAATACTGACTATCAAATTCAACTTTCCTTTTCTTCCCTGCAAGTAACCATGTGGAAGGAGAGCTAGAAAACCCTGATAAATAATTGCTAGATTACTGCAGGATTTAGGCAGAGAAATTCATCTGGCAGTCTCTTAAGTGATGAGCATCAACATGCTCTATTTGCTTCAGTGAGATTATGCACGTGAAATATCATAGAAAATAAGTGTGTAGGTTGGTAAATATGGATTCACCATCATTGCAAAAATAAAATCTACTTAGAGAACTGGAGGAGTTGCCTCATTTAAGCTTCCGCATTTTAATCTTACTGTGTTTAGCTAGATTATTTACTTGGAGGAAAACACTGAAAAGGGCAGTCTCACAACAAACACAGTCACTGAAACAGCAACTTTAAGGACTGGATCTTTCTTTTTAGATTGCATGTCTTTCTTTCAGTTTCAGGCAAACATTACTGTACTATAGAACTTCACGTTCTACATTAAAGTTAACCTTAGTAACTGTAAAATTTTGACATTTACAATAAAGATGCAATGGAAAAAAAAGTCAATTTAATGTTTATGATAGAGAAAATATCATCAAATGCATATTCTTACCTTAATGCATTACAGATATGGAGGTATTCAAAGAAAGCAACAAATTTCAATCAACCCATCTTAGTACACTGTATTCTTTGCCTGAAGACAGCAATAAGGCAAGCACATCAGAGAAGCTGTGTTTTTTTTTAATATTGGTTGTGTATCTGAATAAGAGCAAAGAGCAGCCCAACTCTGTAAAGTTCAGATGACTCTTTTTAAGTTTCCTAACTTTTTAAGTATTTGTACACGGTAACTTGGCCCAGTAGGATCTCAAGGCAGTAATGAATGCTTTGATTCAAACTGAATTGAAATGAATGGTAAATTCAATGAAATCAAGTTAACCTCAGGGGAATTTTAATCAGATCCAAAATTCTGGCAGGTAATGGCTGCTGGACAGACTGCAAGACTACACCGTCCTTAGGCTGACTTAAGGCATCGGAGTCAAAACACACAGACTAAAATGCTCTTAGAGGACTGTTTCCATTTAACTACGACTAGCTGGAAAACAAGGGAAGGTTTTCTCCAACTTCAGGCTTCCATTCTCCCAAATCACTGTGACTTGAATCAAAGGGCATCTCACAGCTGCCCTGTTGGCCATTCGTATAGGCACAGTCCAGGTATCATAGAATCATAGAAATCAAATTACCAGAATAACAGTACCCAGAATGGACCAGCCCTAAAAGTCCTCATATGTCACACCTCAAAGCAATGCAAATGACAGTGCTCACACTGGCTGACATCTTTGCAATGTTCCAGTCCTTGTTTTTATCTCATTTATCCCGGTGGAACAGCATGGGGCTGAGTTGTAGAAATCCTTATTTTCACCAGCATTAGTAAGATCAAGATCTTGTTATGCAAATAAGGGAAATCTGACATTTGGAGTTTTCCAAAGAGCAGTCAGTCAGCCACAGCCTTGTGACAGCTTTTATATATGTGCAGTTAATGAATGGTGGAAAATGATTACAGTGAGGGCGTAGAAATAAGCATGGGTGCTATAGCAATAAATAAGAGCTCATATAAATCAATGGCATTTTATTGACTTCAGTTCTGCCAGCCTGATTTAAATCAAGTACAGATTTGGCCCCAGGGCTGCGCACTGAAATCTCTGGGCCTGAATCCTGCTGTCTTGACTCTGATAAATTTTCCCTAAATTTCAGGGAGTTTCGGGGTTGAATGAGGATTTCAAGATTCTGCCATCACATAACACAGGAGATGGCTCTCTCATCAGCAGTTCACTTAGTTTTGAAATGTATCTAAATGTTTTATGGAAATTATCTGCTCAAAAATGTCAGTCACATCCCTCAGTTAAAAAAAGTCAGAATCATGTTCAAACAAACCAACAGAAAACCCAAAACGGCAACAAAAAACATTCTTTTTTTTTTTTTTTCTTTCAGTGATGTCTACAATGTAGGAGATGTGGTTAAATAAAAACAAGTAAATATAAATGAATTCATACACACACAGCCCTGTAGGTGGAGAAGGTAAATAGCATGAGCTTTCTTCATTTATCTTTCTTGCTTCTTTTATAGTGATGTCTTGAGGAGATACTCTGCAACCTTACAGATGCATAAGGCTCTGAACAGAATCACATTTAAATAATTATTAATGATGGGAAAAGGAAGAAAAAGTATACCAAAAAAGGCATGCATTTCTAAGAGACCCACTCATCTCAGGGTTTTGTACTTTCCAGTGAAAAGTGATTGCATTGCTCTAGAAATCACAAACCACAGTGTGGGTATGATTTTTATCACAGTAAAATCTCAGGACTACAAGTGATGTATTTTTATAATCCTCCATTCCGTTTTCAAGAGACCTCCCATGCCTGGTAAGAGGAGAATGGCAGTTAGACTCAAAAGGATCACGAAGCATAGTAATGTCCATCACCTGCTATGGGTGCTCATTAACCTTCCCATTGCACCATTCTGCAGCATTACAGCAGCTGTGAGGGATGGGAAGGCAGGGAGCAGAGAAAGCAACCTGTGAGCCAGACCCTGGGATCTGCGCTTTGCATCAGTCAGGTGCACCAATCAAACCTGATGAGGGAGCACACCTGGCAGGGTGGGGGGTATATAACAGCAATTCAGGGGCTGGTCTTTCAGTTTTCTGTTTGAGCACTCATCTCAACTGTCTGCTCTAAGGAAGCTTTTTATTCCTAGATTGAAGCAGAAAAGGTATTTTCCCTTTTGGTTTACAACTTACGTGGATATAAGTCAGCCTTGGATGGTGTGGATGGGGGTGACTTAGGAAGGAGTTCGTTTTAAGAGAGTATGACACTTCTGGGTTTTCTTGCTTCTATGGCTTTGGTGGGGTTTTTGGAGAGGAAGAAAGATGGCAATCACTGTTATCATTTTAATCCACAAATAAATATTTCACTTTCCACCAAGGGCAGGCAATTGTGGTCAGAAGTAACCTGGTATGAGTTCCAAGCACAGCTGTTTCCTTGAAAAGAGAGAAGGAAAGGTCTTTATAGGGTTTCCAATGTTGCCTTGATATTTTGCTTTTTTTTTTTCTCCTGATGTTTCATTGCTGTTTTGATCTGTTGAATTTGCTTGGCCAGTTGTTGTAGACTTGTATGTTGCTTTGGGCAAATGCTTGCAAGGCTTTGTGTGGACAATCTAGTCTTCCTGGAATATGTTTGCATTTCTTCTTCAGAGCACACGTGGAAGGTACTAAGCTTGATCTTTTGGCCTGGTTAGTGGCTCTGAGCAAGGCTGCGTGTCCTCTGCTTCTGCTGAAGCTACAAGGCAATGGTCAGGTAGGTTGTAGCACTCTGAGGAGTAGGTTGCTAACTCCTGTGTAACTCCCTGCAAGCAGTTGAGCCTGCGGCCAGACCCAAGGCAGCAGCATGTGCTGAGATCTGTGTCCTGTAAGACTACTCTGCTCCTGTGTGTGGGCAAACTCACCAACTCCTGTGCTCAGGGATCTGTGTCTAACATTGTTGGGTGGTTTGTTTGTTTGTTCTGTAACAGATAGTGCTGTGGTTTGGATTCGGGTTGAAACCTGACCTCGTCAGTGTTGCTGATTGTTCCTGTCCAAATCCTTCCCGAGAGTCGTCGTGTGTCACTTGTGATGCAGCCCTTCAGGTCTCAATACAAGCAGCGAGCTTTTATGCAACTTATTTGCTTTGTGTTGAGGAAGCACAAAGAGCATTGTGCCATCCTCTGCAAGTCAGTCACTGAATCGCTGCGCTGCTGCCTTCGGGTCAGCCTGTTCCCTCACGGACACAGCTTCACTTGTTTCTTTTTCTTTTTTCCTCTCTTATGTGAAGCTGTAAAAATACAAAATAGGTAGTGATGGATGGAAAGTAACTATTAGCTTCAGAAATGAAGTATGTTAATTGATGCGTTTGACTCAATTGTGCTGAAATACTTCAGTGTAAGATTGTCCTTAGGGTCCAAAACAGAAGGTGCCCTTTAAGTATAGGGTAAAGCTTTATTTGGCCATTTCCATTTACTAAGCACTTAAATAAAAAGTGTTAAAGAAGAAATGAGCAAAAGTCAATGACATTTAGCAGAATTGAACAATTAATCCAAAATTCTATGGTGTAGGCATGAGTGTACGTGATCAATATTTCAGCTGTGAGGGAGGGAGCAGACAAAGGTAACAGTCTAAAATACAAATGAGAAGCAGTGGGATGTACAAGGAGGGATTGGCTCAGCCAGCTTAGGCACAATAGTGCAGTGACAGTGCAAAAACACTCTGGATCCCCTGGAGCCCCAGAGTGGGGAGGTGGGGCAGCCCCATAAGGCCTGGGAGTTGGGAATGGGTGTCAGTGCCGTGTGGGTGGACAGCATGTGATGGAGATGAGTGGAGATGGCATTGAGAGGTGTTTCCTTCCAAACTGTAGTGGTCACTGTGAGACATAAGATAACATCCCTTGGCTGGATTGAATAAATAGCTTAAAGTTGGGGTCTAACGTTAAAGCAGGAAAAAAGAGCAGGGGAAAAGATCTCCTAGCCCTGATGTACAGAAATAGACTTAAGTTGTGGCTTTGTTGAGAACATGCTCTCAGCCCAAGGATAATGTCAGTTCTGGTGACAGCAGTCACCATGCTATAAAAAAGGTGATACAGCGACACCAGGTTGCCAGTGCTTTTAATTTATCACCTTGATAGATCAGGTCTGCTGTATTTTAAGGGCTGCAGGCTTGTGTTAGCGTGAAAGCTTTGTTGTTCCCTGAAAATAGGATTTCTGCCAGGTGTGTGTGGCACTTTACACTTTGAGGTGTAAAGAACTTCACAGCTGCTATAGGACTGTGCATCAGAAAGGCATCTTGCTGCCATAGTGTCATTAATTTACATGAGCATGGGCTCGCCTTGTCTGAGCTGAGACAAATTTAATTCAGAAACTGAGCTGTGTTGTGTGTGCGTAAGCGGTCTGAAGATCATTCAGATGGGTTTTGAAGGATTTGCTGCTTATCTTCTATCTAGACAATAATTTATTTAATGTTCTTAACTCTGTGTGTTAATCTGTTTTCTGGGATGCCTTAGTTCTGAGAGATGAAGAGTTAAATAGCCATGTTAAGTGCCGAGTATTTGACAGTTCATAAAGTTCTGATACATCTCAGCATTTTCTATTCTAGCTTCAAGGAGCTCTAGAAGATCTGTGACATTAACTTTTAATGGAAATGCTGAGAAACGTAACAGCCTTCCGGTTTCATGTTCAAAACTACAGATACTTAAAAAAACATTTGAAATATCTTTATACTGCCTTTCTATATAAATGAGAACATAAAGAATTGCTATGAGAAATGTCTCAAAGATCAATCTCAGTATCTGTCCTTATAAAAAGCTGTGTCTCGACTGGACATTTAACAGGCTATCTCCAGCAGAAATGTACCATTGCTGTGCTCAAGTTGAGATAGCAAAAAGCCAGAGTGCTGTGACTTACAGCACTTGCACATGCAGGGCTTTCCTTTTTTTGTCAGATGAGTTGGCTTGATTTGTCAGTTGTTGATGGGATGTTGGTTACTTTGTCTTGTTGGATTAATGTTCCTTTTCTGTTTAAATTCCAGGTGAAAGCAGAAACTCAAAGCAAGGTAAGACTTAAAATACCTAAACTGGTTGTCAATGAATGTCACTTCCAAAAATCGTGTCAATACTGGGTCCAATCCTGTTCTCCATTAAGTGATGATGGGGCAGAGCACATCCTCATCCGTTGTTGATAATGGGAAACTGAGATGAGTGACTGTTAATATTAGGAAGAATGTTGCCAGTAGGTTTGAGGGAGGTGATCCTTCTTCTCTGCTCAGGAATGGTGAGGCCTCCTCTCCCACGAGGAGATGGAGAGAGAAAAATCACAGGGAGAATCTTCTTAATGTGTATATGCAACTAACTGAAAGGAGGATGTAAAGAGAACTGAGGCAAAGGGCACCAAGTGAAGCGCAAGAAATTTCATCTGAGTGTAAGGAAGTACATTTTTATTGCAAGGGTGACTGGATGCTAAAGCAGATAGCCCATGGAGGTTGTGGTATTTGCATCTATGGAGACATTCACAACTTGGCCAGATGTGGTGCTGGGTAATCTGTTCTAGATGTCTCCACATGAGCGGAAGATTGGAACAGATGACTTCCAGAAGTCCCTGCCAACCTCATTCTGTGATAAACAGGGTGGAGGAGTTGGACTTGATGATCCTTATGGGTTCCTTCCAAGTGGGATATTCTATGAAATAACATACATTAATGTTTGAGCCTTTGTCCATCATGCCTCAGGAGATTAATTTTCTGTTTAAATTGATATCAGAAGAGGAGTATTAAGTACTTAATAGTATTCAGAAATTTAAGCTGGATTTGGATTCAAGGATTTGGTTGGTTTAAAGTTGATTCTTTTTCAAGTGCTGGGCTGTATCTGCACTTACAGAAATAAGTGCGTGTCTGGGATGGATGTTAGCCTCTTAATTGTAACTGGTGCCTGTCTGTACTGCTTTTCCTCAGCACTCTGGGAGCCAAACAGGAGGCTGGCATGTCCCCCCCGCCACATGGCACGCATTTCCCCAGAAGTACCCCTGCCAAGGCCATGCATATCTCTATAATTTGGTGCGTTCGGCTCCCCGTCCACATCCCATTTGTCTTTACCTCTAGCATGCGAGTACTGTGATCTGTTATTTTCAGGGACTGTCTTTCAGATGTGAACATCTCAGACCTGTGACTTGATCCTTAGTATTATACAGCAACTGTTTTTTTCCATTTATTGGCAGTGTTTAACTACTATTTTTAGAGGGAATTAAAAAATGATAAAGCACATAAAAGCTCTTTTGGTAATTTAATCTTGTATTTTTCATTAGGCCATGAGCTGGTTGTAGTGAGAATGGAAGCATAGAAGGCGGTTAATGTATGAAGTGCCTTCAGCTATTGCAGAGCTAAGTCAGCTCTTCCACGTAGACAGTGGGAGGGTTGCATTTAAAACTCATGAAGACAACCCTGAAAAGACTAGATTAGTTCTGATGTGTTGTTCCTGCCTTTATCCCTTACACAAGCAGCAGATGGTTCATCATGTTACATTTTATTGACCTACAGGAAGTGATAGAGGAGGTGTTTCTTGTCACTCCTACTTGCTACAGAACCTATAAAAGTTGCTTTTAGCTGTTAACTAGCGACTTTAAATTGGGAATCTGTCTTATTTAATGAGGAGAGGAAAAGAGGCAAAAATCAATGGGAGTAAGGTTTGTAAATATGTTATCTGAATCCCCTGGGCTTATTAGGTAGGGTAGTCTTGCAGATATCAAGAGCCAAATGAAAATCCTTGAGGTAATTTCATGCCGTGTTGTTCCATACTTGTAATTCTTTGGCTGCGCAGATGATTTTGTATCTGACCAGACTAAGTAAGTTGGGTGAGTCACCCATTAAGAGGATTAAATGCTGCTGGCTAGAAGAAAGCAGAGACCAGGCTTTCATGTGTGGTGTGTGGTTGAACTAGTGTGATAAAAGAAATGCAAGAAACAATCTAACTTTCATTTCTGACATCCTTAGATAAGAGAAAAATTTGTAGATGCTCTTTTCTTAAATGACAAACTTAAAAGGCTTACATCTGACCATTCAGGGGTAAATCAAGTTGAGAATATAAATTAGATGCCTAAAAGCAACCTTAACAACACTTGGGAGCTGTTTTCTTAACGCAATTGCCGTTTGGAGTTGTCAGTCTATGAAATGTTTTACAGCTTTTAGGAAGTTATGCTAAAAATGTAAACTGCGACAAAATTGTTACTTGAGGCCATAGGAACTCCACCTCTCTGAGACTGGTCTCTAAGCCAAATTCAGATGATGGAGATGGGGGCAAATAGCAACTGCAGTTGCTGTAAGTATAGACAGCCTATCAGATATGCAGTGTTAAGTAAATGTACAGATCAGCCAAAGCTAGAAGGTGTAAATGGACTTAATGTTAATTTCTGTCAGCTGGACATAGTTGGTATTTGCATGTGAGGGAGCGAGGCTGTAGAGGAAGGGATCAGATTAAAAAAAAGTAGAATCTAACAGTAGAAAACGGTCACTTTTCGTATGCAGTGCTCATCTGTTGGGCCGCCTTCAGCCTTCCACAGTAAGCTGCATATATTTATTTAAATAGCTTCTGAATCACAAAGGTGTAGGGGCAGTTCTCTGCAAATAGCATTGCTTGACCAGCTGGTTCAAAAACTAAGAGCTTTGAGGTATGTAGTTTCCCTGCAGTGAGTTTCGAGTGCCTAAGTTGTGTTCAAGGCCTGTCCAACTTCATTATCATGTGGTCCTTTGAATAGGTCCCAGCAGCGTGCTGTGTTTGAAATTTAGATTTTTACCAGGATTGCTGAGTGACCTGTTCCTTATATGAAACAAAGGAGGTGGTATCATTGCACATTAAAAGCAATTAAATGAAAACGCCCCTGGCAAACTAGAAGAGAACTTGATTTCAAAAGGTATATTGAATAATAGATGGTGTTTAGGTCAAGATGCTTTAAGAGTTAAAGGCTAAGGCAGATGTGGGCTCAGAGGCCTCATGCCATAGTCTATCACACTGCCAAGAGGCAGTGGAATACCACTCAGCAAGTTTCAGTTGGCACTCAGCATGTTTTTCAGCTGGGAAGTCTCCTGTCAGCTGCGTAACAGCTTTTATTGAGCAGAGAAGGCCAGCATAGCTGAAGACAAGAAGCAAAAAATAATTGAGTTAGGGGAACGCCCATGTCTGTGTGAGCCTGCTACAGTAAGGAGTGGAACTCCTCTCAGATTAGATTAAGTGCTATTTCTACTTAGCGTATTTTGAGTTGCTGAAGGAATGAAGACTAACAGCAATAAATCAGGGACTGAATGAAATGTGCATTTAGCCAATTTCCCACGCATCACAGTGGCTTTACTAAATACAGTTTGGTATTGGCAGCAACAACTTCTTTCATCCCACAAAGCTTTGTCTTCTAGATTAAAAAAAAGTCTTTTTTTGCAAACTGGATTAAATAACCCAAGTTGATTTTTCTCAAGCTGGTCTAGCATGAAAGCACTTACGTGTCTTTACTCAAAGCTCAGCGGTTGGGAATGAATGAAACAAGGGTCTTCTCTACCATGGCAGTCCCTTTGTTCTGCTCTTTGACTCCTCTCCTGGGTTCAGCAACAGTATCAAGGGTTTATATCCTTAAATGTTAATAATAAAAAGCGAGGGAATGCTATACTTTCATTTGCTGTTCTTGACTTTCCTCGCTCCTGGGGCTCTGACTGTGTGATGCTGCTATTCAGCATGGTGGACTTATCCCTGAAGCCTGTGGTGTATCTTAAAAGAGCCACATCCAGGGAGATTTGTCTTTTTTCCTCTATCGCTCTCTCATTCTAACAGGATCAGAGTTTATGGTGTTCCAGCAAGTGCTAAATCTGCTGATAGAGGGTGATGCCATGTCAGTTTTCCCTTTAGCCATTTTCTCTAATAAAAACAAAATAAAATAATTGATGTGTTGCTTTTAGTGGCCAATCTGTCCTTTCTTCAGCCTTAATAGTAAACATTGAAACTTGAAAATGGGATTTTACTTCTGTCATTTTTTTTTCTGCTCTTGTTCATCTCTCCTAAACCACATCAAGGGCCCTAGGTCTCATCTCAGAGGTGACATAAAACAGTAGTAAACTCAGGGTAGATTTGGCCACAACCACTGAACAAACTCAGAGAGCGATATATATAGCTACAACAGCTCACAGTTCCTGGTGAAGTTGGCAGGGTTAACTATGTAAGAAATCCAGTTTGCTAAGGGCTTGCTTCTTTTTCACTATGCTGCAGCCCCAATGATGCCCTCAAAGACAGGACTGCACCCAGTGCCTCAGTCCTGGGAGCCTTGGCAGTGAGGGCTGGGGGGCTTTCTACCTTAGCAGGGTCTGAGCACTTGTGTGCTGAAGGCTGTGAGTTACTTGGAGACTAACTGGAGCCAATAAATTAATGAAGAGGTTCCAGCTCAGGGGGTGACTGTAAGTGCATTAGCCCTGTAACGTGCTTGGACTTAAAATGCAATAGTGAGGAGAAAAATACCTCTAATTTACTCACTGAGGGTCAGAAAGGAGGAGCAAAAAAAACCATGAGAGGTAGTGGCTATAGGAGATGCTTTATCTTATTCTCATAGGAAAGCTCAGCAGAGCTGTGGGTATGTGGAGTTCAAGCCAGTAAATTTTTAACTGAGCTAACTGCAGTGCCATGAGAAGTCTCCCTGTTCTTGGCAGCCACAGGAAATGGGAGCTTAGGGCTGGCAGATGCCAGGCTTCCTCTAAGCTGGATTTCTTGGTTTGCCCTTCTCAGCATGCAACTTCTAGTGATCTTTTTCACTGAATTGTAGTCTGGGACAAAGCATGGTAATTTACTGCGTGAGCTTCACTTTCAGCAACCATACTGTGGAACTTACATTACCCCCAATATTTTTCCTAGTATAGGTATTAATAGAATCATAATTACAGAACCATAGAATGGCTTGGGTTGAAAGGGACCTCAAGGATCATCAAGCTCCAAACCCTCCTGCTGAGACAGGGCCACCAACCTCCACGTTTAATACTAGCCAAGGCTGCCCAGGGCCCCATCCGACCTGACCTTGAACGCCTCCGGGAATGGGGCAGTCACAGCCTCTCTGGGCAGCCTGTTCCAGCACCTCACCACTCCTCTGTAAAGAACTTCCCCCTGACATCCAACCTAAATCTTCCCTCCTTCATCTTTAAAGCCATTTCCTCTTGTCCTGCTATTGAGAATGGAATGGTTTTGCACGGGAGTTTTTTAGCACATATTTTCTGAATGATGAATGAACAGCTGAGGAGAGATCAGGGAATGTGTTCTTCAGTATATTTCTTCTGTCACTGAGTAGGTTTTAAGTTTGAAAATTACGATCTGCTGCAGATAAGCTTTGTGAAAATTGCATCTTCAACCTACCATTATTTTACTCTGTCCTTGTGATAGCGTTCTTTTTGTTTTTCTGCCCACCGGCCCCTAGGAGTAGGACAGTACATACAAATTCCCAAAGCACATTTGTTACCGTAGGAGCATTTCAGAGCTGAGCTCTGTGAGGGGCATCAGATAGGGTTTGCGCTGCTGTTGGAGCAGAACAGACTAAAGCTGTTCTGCTGTTATTTAAACGGCTGGGTCTTCTCTTTACGAAGTTAATAGACCTGTGCAGGATTGACTGAAGTGATGATACGATACAGCTTTGTTGCTATTCTGCTATTGTTAGGAAACATTCTTTCCCCTTTGGAATTCATCAGCTGGGATTGTTCTTCCCAGAGTAGCAAGGGAGTCAGATGCAGTTTGCTCACCTCCAGTGCTGTGGGCTGGTAGAGCTGAGCTCTGCCTCAAGCCAGCTATGAGAGCCCATGTGTGACACGTACAGGAGCTGAGATAACTTGGTGTTGTCTGCTCTTTAGTACCACCTTTGCTTGTAGCTCCCAGCACAACAGCAAAAGCTACATCTCAGAATAAGCAGCTTTCATAAACGCGGCTGTACAGGTAGTTTGTTTTGTGCTTATTCCCTCTGGGTGTCCTCAGGGATTCTTTTACCTCCACTACTCCTGAAATCTGTATCTGGGGGGCATTTAGCATCACAGTGTTTAGCACAGCTGCTTCCCCACGTGCCTTGAGGAGCGGTGTGGCTGCACAGAGCCAGGCCCTGCAGCTCAGCCCTGACTTGTACCTGCCTCGGGCTGCCAGCCCTGGATACAGAACCCATGTTTTCCCAGCCTCTGGCTGCACACCACAGAGCCCATTTGTCCCATTTTAGCTCTGCGTGTGACTCACAGGCCGGCAGGTCTGTACTCATCTCCTGCCCTTTCTTTAAAAGAGGAGGTGGGTGAGCCACATCCATTATATGGATGGGAGAACCAGGCCCACCAGAGCCCATTCCTCCTGGGATGATGCATGTCTTCCCTGCTTGCCTTCCCTCTCTGATACTTGAAGTTGTTACTGTTTTGATGTATTTGAATTAATCCTTATAGAATCATAAAATATCCTGAGTTGGAAGGTATCTGTGAGGATCATCGAGTCCAACCCCTGGCTCTCCACAGCACCATTCCAAAATCAGTCCATAATGGCAGCATTATCCAGATGCTTCTTGAATTCTCTCAGTGCCATAGCTCTAGAGTACCTGTTCCACACCCATTACTCCGTCCTTTAGGTGTTTTCTGACTGTTTTTTTCCATGTGGCTTTCTAACTTTCTAAACATCGTATTTGAAATAAATTATATCTTTAAACGCTTCAATATTTAATGTTTTTCTCCCAGCAAAGCCTGGGAAGGCATAGGCAGAAACACACAACTTTCTATTTTGATATTCTGTACAGTAAGTGATATCTATTCTTTCTCGTTGGTTATTTTTATCCCTTTACTCTTATTCTCCTTTCTCACTTGTCTGCAGCTTTTCTAAACCTTTTCCATTTCTGCTGCAGAAATTAAACTCAGACAAAGAAAGTTTTTCAGCTATGGAAAGTTAATGCGTTTCAGTTGTCCTTTTCAAGAGTGAGATTGCCAAAGGTGGAAAAAAAAGAAGCAACAGAAAAAAAGTGTTGCTCATTCTATTACGTTC